TATATATATATATATATATATGGCATCATTATTATAATCAGTTACAAGATCTTTTTAAAGCCATTTCCATCACCATAGATTGCACTTTTACTATAGATGTACTTCGGTATTGCATAAATAATACATAACAGTAACCCTAAGGTTAACCAATGAGATACTACATACATAACCTTGTAGCGGTGAGAAAAGTGACCATTTACAGCAGTGAAACAAACAATTTCGGTGGGTTAGGGAGTTAAGCAGCTAATGGTTTGGATACCGTGCCTGTTCATTAGAAGTCGTATGGAATGATTAAAAGTATCACATGCTTTGATAAATCAATGGAAACAGTCCCCGTTAAGTCTCCAGACTACTCACTATTCAATAAGTAGCAAATTGTTACCTTCGACAAGAATGTTATGTTTTCAGAGGCGTTCGTGTGTGTGTCTGTCTGTCCGGAAACACGATAACTTAACAACGCTTTAATGGATAGAGCTGATATTTGGTAGGTGAGTAGGTCTTGGTAAGACCTAGAAATTAGATTTTGGGCCCCCTAGCATCTTCTTGTGTACTGCAGCGGAACTTTCAGTTTTGACCTAGTCATACTAGGGTCACCAACTTTAGATGATAGGTAGCTCTTGTTGTGAGGAAGAAGTGACGCGAGTTTGGGCTCCCTAGTGGCTTGCTCTGAAACTGCAGGGTCGTTTGATAATATTTAAACAGGGATAACTCAAAAACCGGTTGGCAGATCATCATGATTTTTGGTGTGTAGGTATTAAGTAATGCTTGACATAATTATGGGGTCTTTATGCATATATGAATGTAATTTGCATAATCTATGAGGATATTCTATAAATCAGTTGCATTACATGATATGACTATTCAAGCTTTGAGAACAAGAGAAATACAGCCAGATATTCCAACAGACAATTTACAGAGATCAAATTTTCAGAGACCACTGTCGCCTTCATCAGGGTAAATTGTGTGTTGGAATAAAGTCTAACGTTTTATTATCATTACCACCAACACAGATGAACTTTCATGATAAACAGCAATATATTGATTATGTAAATTGATACTTAATTCGCGTAATTAACCCTAAACAGTACACCTGGGGTCCGCGCGGACCCCAGCACTATATATTCTGTAATATCTTTTTTGTTTCCAAAGATTTTTTTCTGAAATTTTAGGTAATTGTTACCCACAAAGTTGTCTCTCAATACAGTGCAGAAAACTCCGTTTCTACCATTTATAAAAAAAATTATATCTGATTTTCTTTTGGGGTCCGCGCGTACCCCAGCCGGCTTTCGATCATAATGGATACACAGGCGTTCTTATACATTACCTTATTTCCGTTTTTATATGTTTTTATGCACTTATCGTATGTCTACCAACTTTTCAGAGAATGGTGTAGTAATAGAATTAAATTTTAATAACTTTGGTGTAATTATGACGTCATATGACGTCAGAGCTAATAATATAGTCCGCCATATTGGATTTTGACAAATGACGTCATCAAATTAGCATATTCTATGCATATTAAATGATTTAACTTATATTTAATTATGTAAGATGTTATTAGTGTTTGAAAAGAAGTGTAATTTAATATAAAACTCAGAAAATTTTTATGTTTAAACCAAAATTACTTCTATTTTCAAAAAAATAGCCCGTTGCCATGGCAACACAAAAAAACATCAACTTACTAGTATTAAACTATTATGAACTTTTTTTCCAGAGACACTTTAAGAAAGGTCTCCAAATTTGATACTTTTAGCGCAAGCCGTTTAGCCGCTATCTGAAATCAAAGTTGGGCCTCAAAAGCCCCTTCAGTCTGAAATGGGTTTAAAAATCGGGTATTTCTTCTTGTCTTCTTTTCTTCACCAAAAAATAGAAAAAAGTTCAAAATGTATGATTTTTGTATGTAATGTGGACACAGAGGTTCCCACATCAGTTTGCAAAACAATTGAGCTGGTAGCATGTTGGTAATTTCTAAAAATTAGCAAAAAACTGTTCTGGGGTCCGCGCGGACCCCAGGTGTACAGATTAATCAGTCCGGGAAGGTGTACTGTTGAGGGTTAATGAGAAAACGCTATAATTCAGCAATGGTAAATGCCTAGAATTTCATAATTGGGGTATTTGAAAGTTAAGTGAAGGTGAACATCACTAGGCATAACTTATTCAAATAAGAAACTTATTTCCATAATGTATAAGGAAATGGTAGAATGGCATTCTTTGTTAAGATAAGACTGTCTAATTGTGAAGAATATGATCAACTGATGTAATTTATGGAAATGAGGATCCTATTCGCATAATCAGGGGGAAGAATCCATAATTTGTCAGTCATAAAGATTAACATCATTTGGCGAAGGTATGAGATCGTGGAATTCTTGTTTGTTCTGAAATTGAGTTTCTCATCAGAGATAATGTTTTGCCGAGATAGTCATATAGCTAAGTTTGCTCAGCTCTCTAGAGGATTTCCAAAATAAGATGGTCAAGTGCTTACTAGTTCTGTAATTGTTAGGAAAGGCTCTATCTTCATTCTTGTGTATGTGCAAAACATCCCTTCTGTTCGACAGGGCTGGCTACCTCTTTCGTACAGAAGGGACATTATTGATGTTGTAGCACTTGTTAAGTCTCGTGCTTCTCGTCTAGAGTTCCTTGGAGCTCTAGGGATCACATGCCTGTCCCACCGAGGGTGAAGACTTCGTCTTATGCTTCATCCTTCTTGTCACGAGTCATAACAGTATGGAATAAACTGGGCGTCGAAACCAGGGCGTTGGGAGCTAACGCGTCGAGTCCAATTGACGTTTTAAGAGAAAGTGTCAGTCTTCCATGCACAATAGACTTAACCAACATTTCAGTGTGGACATTCCGTGCTCCTGGGTGCTGTCGTGTGGCTGCCCCGCCTGCCGCGCTACGAGGCCCCGTTGAGTCTAGTTATTATCATGTAAATTTGTATATACAGTATCACTGTTTTGTATTTTTTATGCACATTGTCTATTTTTTGTGGGCATGGTGACCTTGAAAAGGTGCACTTAAGTGACCTGTTCCACCATGCCCTCCATGTACATATGTATGGGGTCCATTGTAATAAATTAATAAATAAAACAATCTATTTACAAGCATCTAACCAGGAACTCTGCAAGAAGACTTTAGGAGAATTTCCCTACGATAATGCTAATGACGTCCCCATTTAAACAAAAACATTAAAGCTTGCAACAGCAATTTATATAATGAAAAATTAATAAAATAAAGAGCGAAATCTAATGATATTTAATAATTTAATCATGAATAACCTGTTTCTCTATACTATTCATTAGGACTACGAATTGAATGGTTCATCCCCCGCCGGCGTACCCAAGAAGAAAAGGTAACGATTTAAAACATCACATCACTGAAAAACATATCTTAAGAATTTGAACCATGATTAAAGGGCATTGTCTCCACTACATCATGTTTTTTTTTTCTTACCCTTGCCCTAGCTGTCAATCCTCTGGGCATATAGGTGGCTGTACGTGTTTTCCAGTTACAGCAGTAAATCTATCGTCACTTGGCCGTCCTGGCCTGAATATAGTTCATATTTTTCCAGTTTAATGGTGTTTTTCTCAGACTTTTGAAGTTCACCGTCTGTCGAGGAAAGCCCTGTTGGGGGGGGGGGTTAGTGGGTGCGCATGTAGCAAACCATCGCCATGGGTCAGGCACAACAGGACTGACCACTACATGCATATTCGGCATACCTCTACTCGTATCATCTCTCCACTTCAAAATACGTTTGTACGAGTGTTTGTATTTTGGCAGGGTCCACAAATCTTGTTTTCTAAAACTTGGAACCATAATGAAAGAACTATGTAGTTTTTACAGTGAATGTAATTGATTCCTTTATGGATAAATTGCATAGGTAGCTATAGGCACATGTCATAATAAAAAGCAATACTTTGTCTACAAGTCTACCTGTGTCTACGTGTGTTTGAGAGAGGGCCTAATGGTTAGGAAACTTCCGTAGTCCTGACTGACGGCTAACCATAGAGGAACTTTTGAAAAAATGCAGGTTTCACGGTATTCTCCAAAATACCAATCTAGAGCGGGCTAAAAGTCTGTGTTATTTTAGCCCAGCATTGCTGAGTAAACTAATGAGCTCAGACTTTTTCTTTTCAGAAATGTCAGCCCAACAGTAACTCTATTTGACCGAACAGGCAAGCTTGCCAGACTCTTAGGCCATAATATCAATTACAAGACACCTCCATGTGTTGTGCACATCATTGAGTGTAGATTTTCACATAATTAGTGTTTATGATCTGAGCTGCATATTAATACAATTATCATGGTACTTATTACAATTTAAATTGCTTGTTTTCTTCAAATTGCTTGTACTTTCCAAATTCGGAATATCCATTTTTACCAACATTTACAAGTCAATGATAACAAGAATTCGACGACATCATACCTACATGAAATATGTAAAGTTTATGTTAATGTTTGGAGGGGATTTGTCTCATTCAAAAATAAGATCAAATGTACTATAAGTTTATGGTTTTCTAAACTCAAATTGTAACGTTTTGCTTGTGAAATTCCTATCTTTTGGCAACATTCTGCTGCAGTACCAAGGTCAGCCAACATGGGGCCTATATTTAACCATGCCCTTTATATTCCTACGACCTACCAACATACCAAAAATCACAATCCATAAAGGCGTTTTGAAGTTATGCTGACTACAGATGTGCGGAAACACAAACAAACACACACAGAGACAGACACACAGACGGGCACAGACACGCCAAAAGGAATCTATATTTCTCATGGAGGTAACAAGACTTGCCCAGAGCTGAAAAGGTCTTGCTACAGATGAGTTTCCCTCGTGTACTTTATCTATATTGTGTCTTTTCTTGTTTTCATTTTCTTTTCTTCACCGCGTTTCCGTCATGTTTTCTATGATATCACATGCCCAATCTTAATGGTTACAATTTAAGACTATTTAACATACAAGTGTTTTCTATGATACGTTATATTTTGATGTCTTGCAGGTGGAATTTCGTGCTGAAAAAGGCGTTTTTACTACGCCGTGTAATTACGAAAACGTCTATATTGAAGGGAAAGAGACCAAAAGGATGACAATAAGAACAAACAGCCCATCCCTGCTGAATCTTCAGCTTCAGGACATAGTGTACCATAACACGGAATTTGACACCAACATATTTGAAAAAGGTTTTTTTTTTCTTTTTACAAATTGTTAGATGCATTCATGGCGGTAGCTTACATGATTAAGCCGGGCCCGGGTTTCTTTAGGATGTTTTCTAAAATCTTTTTCGGCGCCTAACGCTCTTTCACCCGGTGTGTTTTTGCCTCTCCCCCAGTGATTTCGCCCTTCCGGGCGGGGGTGGGGGTTGATAACGCTAGCGATTTCGTCTCACTCCAGAGATCTAACACTATTCTGCCTCTTAGTAAACCCTATCTAGACTGGGCTTTTATGAATCTTTGGGACGGGGGGGGGGGCTCCTTCGCCCCCTCCGAACTCATGAACGGTATACCGTATGACCACTGAATTTTTAGTGGATGGTGTACTAGTTAACATTGATCAAAACAACAAATTTTGATATCATTATAACGTAATTATGACGCCATTCATGTCAAAGGAAGTTATGTGATCTCAATGTAAGAGTTACATCAAAGAATTTTAAACTTCCACGGCCCTAAATGTAAAGGTATAGTTCCATATCTTGCAACAAATCACCGCTCAAGTTAAACCAATTTAATGTTAAACAACTTTGAAATACTTTCCCATACCATTCCTGAAATCTAATGTGCCTAAAGTCAAGAACATACAGCTACTGTGTGCTTAACTATAGGACCAAGCCCGGGTTCCAGAACGTCAGAGCGGTAGCAGCAGGGCATTCTTCTACCGAATTGTCTGTTAAAATCATTTAAACATAACCCGAATACAACGAAATACTATGATTAGAATTTCATACGAAATGAGTGTACTTGAGCATGCTATAAAAGAAGTTTCAAATAAAATAATTTTTTTACTAAATGGGGCGAGATCGCTGTGACACCGACACGGTCGTGGTGGTCAATTGCTGCTCACCCGTCTCACCTACAAGATAACCTAATTTCTGTGATAACTTATGCGATCTCTGCTACCCATTCTGTAAACTTCTCACACAAACAGGCTGTGCTTTAAGGTGGGGGGGGGGGCTGGTGCCTGAAGAATTTTCCTTATCGTTATTACGTTATAATGCCACAATATGACATCCTTGATACGTTTTTATTGACTAAAACAGTCTTTTTAATCTAAGCACCGATACGATAAGTTTGACTCCTGACTGGAGGGAAAGAATCATTATAACAAATGACCTGAAAATCTTAATGGAGGTACACGACTTTGACATACACCACTTTAAAATTGCGTAAAATATTTTTTTTTGCTATATCCGGACAAAAATAGATCATTGGATGCAAGCCCACAGAATGTTATTTGTGCTTTTGTCTTGTGCCACTTAGAAAGTATGTAAACTTTGCTCTTTTTTTGCTTTTTTGCACGAAATGAGGTCCTATTGACTCTACGTCATCGCAGTTCAAAAAGAATTATTACCTTTGCCGAGAAGGAATGTTTTCAGGGGCGTTCGTGTGTCTCTGTGTGTGTCTGTGTGTGTGTATATGTCTGTGTGTGTATGTGTCTGTGTGTGTGTGTGTGTGTGTCTGTGTGTGTGTATGTGTGTGTGTGTGTGTGTGTCTGTGTGTGTGTGTATGTGTTAGCACGATATCTCGACAACGCCTAAATGGATTGTCTTGATATTTGGTAGGTGGGTAGGTCTTGATGAGACCTGGAAATGATTAGCTTTGGGCTCCACGGCGGCTTGCCATGGTACTGTTGCAGAACTTCCGGTTTTGATATCTCATGATCCAGGCATGCTAGGGTCACAAAATTTACATAGTATATAGCTCTTGTGTTGGAGATGAAGTGACATGAGTTTGAACTGCTTGCTCTAGAACTGCAGGGGCGTATGTTGAAAAATGTTTAAAAGAGGATAACTTATGAACCGGATTGTGGATCGTCGTGATTTTTGGTCTATAGGTAGTTTAATTGATGTTTGACATAATATTTTTACAATTATGCAAATATGAATGTAATTGGCATAATCAATGAGGAAATTCTATAAATCAGTTGCATTACATAAAATTGCTATTTGACATATGTCAAGCTTGTGTCATAGTACATGGCCGAGACCGATTTTTTTTTCCACCAAGACAGACCAGTGCTACCATAGATTATTTGAATCTGCCATAACCAAAGTTTATTTTGATGTATCATAGCAAGTCTGTATGAGTAGCTTTATTGGTGTAATCCACGTGACCAAATGACGTCATTAAAATGGACCTCGTGCCTTGAGACTTAATCCAAAGGGCCGAGAAAAAAATATCAAACATCAATAATTCTCGGCAAAAATTGTATTTAATAACCAGAGTAACACAGGCAGATATCGATTATGCAAATGACGACTAAATTTGCATAATTGATGCGAGATCTTATACTTCCATACTGTTAACTGCCTGGAATTTCATACTTGGGGTATTTGAAATTTAAGTGAATGTGAACATAATTAGACATAAATTATTTAAATTTGGGCCTCATTTGCATAATTACCTTCGCCAAGAGGGTTATGTTTTCAATAGCGTTTTAGTGTGTGTGTGTTTGTGTGTGGTTTATTTATTAGGAAATGCTATAATGACATTCTTTGTTAGTGTATTTTGGTGTAGAATATGATCAACAGATATAATTTATGCTATTGAGGATCCTATTTGCATAATCAGGGGGATTAATGTATACTTAAGAAAGTCATTTGGCGAAGGTATGAGATCGTGGAACTTTAGTTTTAATTTATTATTATTGGTAAACCACCCCTTCAAAACAGCTCGGTCTAAAGATTGATAAGATAAATAGAAGTGACCACTTAAGTCATTTGTTAATATTTACAATTACTAGCAGTATAAAATGACAAAAGTATTGCGACTGATGATAACCAACCTTTTATAGAAATTAAGTGCTGATTTTACGTTCATTACGTACTGCATAAACTGATCACGCATTCTTAGAATGTAAGAATGCGTGATCTTTGGTGATATTCTTAACATACATTTCTTTGTACTTTGTAATAATTTAAGTATATATAACGCATTTTTTTCAGTTCTTCTTCGTTACTTGGAATTCAATATTACAATTCCGATTCATATTCAACATCGACAGGTTCCATGGCTGTATAGAAAAGGTACCACCGTATAATAAAGATCATGGTGAAGACAAGAAGTCATGGTTAGACTTGAACCTTGAACGTGAAGCGATGTTAGACTATCAGACAAGGTGTTAGACCAATATGGGCATCAAATGTTCAAACTGATAGACTTCTCAAAACATAGTGAAATTATAACATTTATGCTTCCCTTTGTAAACTGCGAGAAAATGAAAGCAATAGAGATATACTTGTGTATATTGCGTAAACTAGTCTATATTGCAAAATAAACGAAAACTAAAACCAATTCATCATTACCAGTTATTAAAAACACAGAGTTGTTACATTAACATGCGGTCCTCCCCATCATCTCAAGTTTTTTTTTAGGTATCGTCGTTTTATTTGATTTCTTGCAAGTTGCACTATCAAATAAGGCAGACTCTGGAGGAACAAATCGTTGTCTAAACAAAAAAATCACAAATCGATTAGTTTGTGTAAAAAATACACGAAAAAATACTTATTACTGCTAACACCGGTGATGACGTTTTCACTCATTAGGAACTGTCGAAGAAAGGGTCACTGTGATTGTTAAAACGTTTCTTCGGTACCAAAAGGCAAAATCTGCGATTTACTCTATCAAGAGATTGTATCCAAATACAAGAATCGTTATTGCTGACGACACTCCCCCGACGAACTTTACAAACCTGCAAGGTAGCAACATGGATCACTTTAGAATGCCAGGCTTCACTGTAAGTAATTGCCAATACTTTGCAATTGATACATTTGTTTCTTCTTGTTACCCAGAGCTTTTATTATTTCCCTTTTGCAACTTAACAAAATACAATAACGTTACAACTGTTACAATGCTCATTAGTATGCAATGAAACATGCAGATTTTACATGGGTACACGAATAATTCAAAATATGGACTGTTCCTAAATACTGCGAAAACTGCGATAGGAGAAGGACAGTAGTTTGTCATTTTCATATACATGTTTTAATAATCGGGCACGGCTAGTGCCAAGGTCTAAGGGCCGTTGCAAAGAGTACAAGGCATCGGTCCGAGTACGGACCCTGTGATACTCTTACGTATGAGAATTTTATGCAGATGCTGCACCGTTGTAAGAAAATGAAGTTAAGTATACTGCATTTATCCTAAAGCTAATAAACGAAAATGCCGAGTATTTCCCGTGAAGCGACGACTTCCTTTTGAGTGGTTAGCAAATGGCCAACGTACATAATGTACCTATATTTAAGGAACGGTGTTTTAATGGACACGATAAATACTAGAAAAAACTACAATCTGCTTTAAAAGTATCTGACAACTACATAGTACAGAGTCACGGTGACAAATTACGTGATGTTATTTGGACGATTACGAATTACGAATGGACCTGAAAGTCCATTTCTGAGAAAAAAAACGCTTATCATTATAACATATCGCAGATCCCATCGAATCATTCACCTAATGGCAAAAGATAATAATACCTTTGTAAATGGAATCCCTTTAGAGAATTTTACAGCAAAAATATAAAATAAAAAGAGAAATGGTCATAATCAAAGTTGCTTATGCTTATATTTTCACACGGAGTGATATTAATATTTTACAATACAATTCCTTTATCTCTAATAGTTGCAAATTTAACAGCCATATTTAAATTAAGAGCCATTTGGGCAGGCCTGTGTATATCAACAAAATAAAAAAACATCAGTCCGTAACAAGCACTCTACATAATGGTTCAAGTAGCGAAATAGATACAAACGAATTTACCAAAAGGCGCATGTAAAGTAGATGACGTAATTTGGCAAGCTTGAACATTATATCGTTTAAATGTAAAAAAAAAAAAACTGCATGAAACTGTAACTTACTGTAAGTAGTTTGTTTTGTTTTTTGTTTGTTACTTTATTCGCATATAATCAAAGAGAAAAACAACAAAATGAACATATTACAGTAAAATTGGATATGCAGGGAAAGATAAAAAGCCATAATGGCTTGTCCATGATCTTCCTCCGACAAAATTTACTGACAACTGTAATGATGGTAACAAATCAAATGGTAAAAATAAATAACTATAAGTAATTGGTAAATAACGCTAATTAGAAACGATATGTTAAAAACAGTTAACAGAGGTTTAACTGAAGTACAAACATAAGCAGAAAAATTGTAGCAATAACTCCAGGATATATAAATGAAATTTGAATTGAAATCTTATATAACAATGACATGTAACGGGAAACTTTAACTTATTCATAGTATATCAAAGTGGCACTTTAACTTTTAAAAAATGTTAAATAACGGTGGGAAAGAAAAGTAGGTGATTTTTAAGATTGCGTTTAAAGCTAATTGTTGATGTTAAACATTTAGTTACAAAATATTACAAACACCGAAAGAACAAACAATAGGGTTATCATGAAAGTTCATCTGTGTTGGTAGTTACATGTTTAAAGTTAAAACTTTTGATCCAACATGAAAATTCTCTCACCTAGAGCTTTCAACCAGTCACTCTGGTCTTCCTCAGTAGACTGACCCAGTGAAGCTTGTCACGTGGCTTCTTTGAAGTGTGACGTCAACACTGGGTCAAAGGTATCTGGTAGACGATGTCGGCCCCCGTCGCGGTTCAATGTAGGGTGATGGGCCCTGATGTAAATGGCTTCCTTCACCCCTCTCAAGAAATAGTCTTGTTCAGTGTCTAAAATCCTTACAGTGTCAAGTGAGACATGGTGTCCGGGTGACTCTATGTGAATGTGTTGAGACACCTCTGAACTGGCAGAACTAAGCCGTGTATGTTCCTGAAACCTGACCACAAACTAGGGGTGATTAGGACTCTATTTCACAGAGCCAAACACCATAGTGTCAGATCCACAGGATTTAGAGACTGAGAAGTCCCACCTGACCCAGGCATTAAAAACTTGTGGCTACCCCCAGTGGGCCATCAACAAAGCGACCTGCCCAAAACCTCCTAACACCAAACCCTCAGCAGGAACAAAGTCCAAGGGGTTGGTGGTCCTGCCATACATCAAGGACTTGTCTGAAGCTCTCAGGAGGATTTTCATTTCCCACGGGATTGCAACTTGTTTCAAACCAACCACTACTTTCAGACACATTCTTGTTGCGCCCAAGGATAAAACCCCCAAAGAGAAGAAGTGTGGTGTCATCTACCACATCCCCTGCCAGGGCAAGAATAACAGGGGGGGGCTGCCAGGAAACTTATATTGGTGAAACGGAGAGGTCTCTAAAAGCCAGGTTTCAGGAACATACACGGCCTAGTTCTGCCAGTTCAGAGGTGTCTCAACACATTCACATAGAGTCACCCGGACACCATGTCTCACTTGACACTGTAAGGATTTTAGACACTGAACAAGACTATTTCTTGAGAGGGGTGAAGGAAGCCATTTACATCAGGGCCCATCACCCTACATTGAACCGCGACGGGGGCCGACATCGTCTACCAGATACCTTTGACCCAGTGTTGAAGTCACACTTCAAAGAAGCCACGTGACAAGCTTCACTGGGTCAGTCTACTGAGGAAGACCAGAGTGACTGGTTGAAAGCTCTAGGTGAGAGAATTTTCGTGTTGGATCAAAAATTTTAACTTTAAACAAACAATAGGGTTAATGATATTATTATTTTTTAGTTGGTGGTAGCTACCATGGTGTTCGGGTTCCTAAAATTCTACCCTTTAACCTGTATTTGAAATGTTCGTAGTTTAAGAACTTTTTTCGGCCAAATTTACCCGTAAATGATTTCGTTAATTTTATTTATCGCAAATATTTTTCAACGCAATCTTATCCATACAAAGGGCTACTTTGCGGGAAGGAATCTAGGACTGTCTCAAGTCTGGACTGAGTACTTTCTCTACATGGATGACGACCTTTTTTTTACCAATGGAACAAGGCTGGATGTCCTTGTCTCATTTTTGGACAAGACTAATTTTCACTTGGTAGGTGTACTCTCTGTCATTAATTCGGTATATGCTATTAACAGAAGACTATCAATTGTATCAATTTAATTCAGCCATAAAATGATTCTATGACAACCATAATAGTTGTTTCACAACAGGTAAGCGGAGCAGCTGAAGGAAAGAGAAGACATGTGCACACTCTACGTGTTCTTGGAAACGGTACTTACTCTTGCCACAGAAAGGAGCAACGCCATTATCAGGAGATAAAAGGTTTTCCGGGTGAGCAACATTTCATTTATTATAATGCATTTCTAAACAAAACAGGATCTTTGCGTAATAGATCTATAGTCAGAGGTTGAAATATATGAGTTGGCCACAGAATATCTATCTGCAACAGATATTAAGAACTAGAAACAGCCATAAGGCTGAAACGCGATTTGTCGTTATTGAGTTGTCAATTTGGTAAACAATGTTGATGTAGTCAATCGTAAATTAGGGGGCAGTCCCAATTCATTCCAGTGTTTGAGATAAAGTTCAGTCTTTCTTTCACAGTGACTTGTACTAACACAGATGAACTTTCATACTTGGCAAAATTACATCCGTCATCATGCTATTACAACAAATGAGACGAAAAAGTATAAGTAAAACCTATCATCGCTGTACTAGCAGAGTAAACATACTAATATAGTATGAACACTACGACCAATGCCTTTGCGTCAGTTTTGCAGCAAACCAAAATGGCGGAATATAAGAACCGCCGCTCGGGAACGTAACGCATGGCCGGTTTGTCTACGTTACAAGTAAAGTATCCTTTTTTTTTTAAGAAAAAAGAGTTTGCTTTTCTCAGCCTACCATTCAGTTACAGGATTTTTCTGTTCCCTTAATCCGGGCATCCATGGCAGCAAGAACTTCTGCTGTCCCGTCGACCTCTTGCTTCGCGAAGGTGATAATACTTATTTTTCCCGACATGACGAGCGGATCGACCCTTTTACAATGCGGACAATACATTGAAAAGTGGCCTGAAGTGTACAAGAAGTTTGCAGGATATGCATATTAGTTAAAACGGATCTGTAGTTTCTCATGAACGCTCTATCTCTTTTGTTAAAGATGGCGCATATATTTCCATCCAGTTTTAAGGGACTTCTGCAGTGTTTAACGAGTGTTGGAAAATTTCAGTTAGTACAGGTGCGATTTCAATAGGTGTCCCTTTGAGGAACCAAGGTGGTATTTGATGACCGGATGCCTTAGAGGGATTCAGATCTTGAAGCATTTTTTGACACCATCAATAGAAACTTTTATATGTTTCATTAGATGAGTACAGGGCTGACCCAGAGATGGCATATCTGTGGTGTCTTTCTCTATAACTATTAAACTGTAAACTGTGCACCTCTGTTTTTTCCCAGTTGTCACTGTTGATAGTATTTCCAACCTTTAGGACTCCTACCCCAGCAAGTTATTTCCTCAGTCCTTTTATGTAGGAACAGAATGTTTTGAATTTGTCAACTATAGCTTCTCCCAGTATGTCTGCCACGTACTTCAAGTGTGCTTTTCTGAACTTCCGTTTTAAGTCTATTGTTTTTCTTCCAAACGTCCTCTTGGCCTGCTTTCTCAGCTTCGTTCTAGAGATGCTGCTTCGTAAGGTATTTTAAGTCCTCCTACAGTCTAGATAGGAATAAATGACTTCAGATGTTGAAAGGCTATGTGTAACAAATTACTCGATGTAATATAGCCAGCTGTCGTAGCGCCGCGTGCCTGCAAAGCCACCGTGTTACACCAGGGGCGGTTATACCGGCTATACAGATTCAGATAGAAATCACAACTCTGTGACTATAATGTTATTTCGCCAGTTTAACTTTCGATATAGATCTTTTCGAAGGTTTGGTATATTCCCTTGCACACTTTTCTCTAGTACTAGTATTGTACACCGGGTATGATTTACGCCACAGCAGACTGGTTTTATCCATCGTGCACAAAAACCCAACCAGAAAAAGCAACATTCATTGAAATAAATAACAATCAATTGATCTATCAATCACATTGATGTGGGCATTTTAAGTCCCCCTCCTGTATATATAGGGTTAAAGGGCAACTTGCAAAGCTGTCAAGACATTTGTTTTGTCTTTCCCTTTATCTTATATTCCTGTAAAGGCTTCAAATAAACAAAACTTTGTCTTTCTTTCTTTAAGGTTGTTTTGTTGCTGATCTCGTCCCGAATTTTTTTCTTGGTTCCACCCATGAAGTTAAATCTATCGGATTCGACCCACACCCAGCCCTGTCCCGTGTTGGGCATTACGGTATGGAGTTTCTTTTTAACAATTTCATCAGTATCAAAAAAGTGATGACGATTTTAAGTGGATATATATATATATATATTTAGCCTTTTAGAAACTCTTCTGGTATAAGTAGCGTAAATAAATCAAGAAGAATGTCAATGTAATTTCTTGAAAATTAATATGGGTTATTTTTTATCATTCCAAAAGTTCTTTATTTCTAAACTGTCACGTATAGTATAAATTAAAGGTTACGTATAGTATATATAAAATTGAATTGAATTGAATTGATTTAGCTTTAACAACCTAACAGCAGAACAGATTGACAGGTTATCCACACCTTCAACCAACCTAAGTATCTAAAGTGTTTTGGGGCAAAAAGTATTGAAGGCCGTCCATAGAGAGAATCGATAAGCATAATTGTTTTGAAAGTTGATAACGAAAATGCGCATCATTTGTTTTTGGCAAAGATATTTACGTTGTGAAAGGACAGTAACATAATAACATCTGTTTATTTAAAAGCTTTCTTCCTCTCTGCACTGGGGAGAATCCGGATTGCCTTCTGTACTACTGTGGAATTCGGACACAACAAGACAACAACAGAAGCTGACGCAGCATATAGGAGCTTTCGCTATGTCGGCCCAGAGTATTATAAGATGAGGGGCCATCACGAGTTATTTAAATATAATTTTGCTTGTTAGTCAGAAATGTTATTAATATTCTTGCTCATTATTACGTAACCTTAACTTTGCTAATCGTAAGAACAGAAACGGAACAGGTAAAAAGTGCTCCAGTCTACTGTTTAATAAACTTGAAGAAAAAAATATAAAGCTTGCTTGTGGTCTCACCGGTGTAATGGCTCAAGTATGTAGAATGCTCGCTTTGTTACTGGGAGGTCGTTAGGTCAAACCCAGGCCGATTCATACAAAAGATTTAAAAATGGTACGTGCTGCTTTATCTGCTAAGCACTCGGCATATAGTAGAAAGTTAGAAAGACAGCGGGCAAGCCCCTTGCTGAAACGCTTACATAATCTTATATCTGATATATTGATATATCTGGAGTACTGCAAGGGCCGATGCCGGAGCCGTGCTGACAATTTGACCTCTAAGGCCCGTCTTTTTGCTGACGACACAATGATCTATGTGGCCGTCTCAAGTCTAGGGAACTAAAAAACTCCTCGGTACACTGGAGAAATGTCGATTTGGATGATGAAGTTTTATCCGAATAAATGTGAAGTGTGAACATCACTAGGAAAAGGAATTCTTTTGTCTACAGTTACAAATAATGTACTCTTTACACGGGCATGTCTGGAACCTTGTCAGCTCCGTCAGATACCTTGGCGTCGACGTCCTACACTTGAACGGCCATATTGATTAAGTGTCTACTAAAGCAAAAATCATGATCACTGTAAACTTCCTTAGACATATTAAGTATATCTAACCCCCGAGAAAAGGTACGAACATGTAAGAACCTTGTAAGACCAAAACTAGAATATCGTTGAAGAGATTCATTTGTCACGTATAGATACAGTTACTAGTGAATTCTTTCATCAGTGACAGCTTGGGAGGATAAGGATACTAACCTCCAAATTTTCGATGGCTATCAGTCCGTGAATAAGATGGTAGTATCCTTATCCTCCCAAGCTGTCACTGATGAAAGAATTCACTAGTAACCGAAACTAGAATATTGTCAAACTCTTTGGGACCGCAAAGCTCAAAACAACATCCGTAGCCTGGAGGCAGCACAGCGTCCAGTGGCGCGCTTTGCTCTTCATCGCTACTATGGGCAGAAGAGTGTGACTGACATGCTGCCACCACTTAGAGTGCCACTGCTCGCAAAGAGAAGGCGCAGTTATCGGCTGCATTTTTTTTTTCAAAATCACTAATGGTGTAGCCACACAGTTGCCAACTGTTAGCATTGGGCTATCGACCCCATCACGCACAGTAGATAGTCAGGCTTTTCACTCTACATACTCGCGGGTAGATTACCACTTAACCCTACCTAGACCGGGCTTTTTTTTACATGGGGGGACCGGGGGGGGCTCTTTTGACC